AGCTTAGGGTTATGCCACTCGCTGACCTTCAACATCAATATCAAGTAGAGTTGAATATATATTATGTTAACAATATTGATGGTCGTTAGGAATATGAAAACTAAGAATTAAGAGTGATTACCGTAGAGAGGATGTGACCGATTGTTGAATTAATGGGAGGGTCGATGATGATTTCCACCTAATCTCACTGAATGATGAGGAAGAAGAAGAAGAGTGCATAACAAACTTTACATGTGAGAATCACAGCGTCTTGAAGAATCATCGGTGCTTCTCGTCTTCAATTAGTGTTTTGAGAGATAAATGGAGTGAGAAGGGATTTTGAGAGATAGTAGGAGGAGGAGTGTGTTATAATATCAAGAAGAGAAAGATTTGGAATTGAGAAATATCTAGAGAAATCAGGCAATTGCAGAGAATACGGGTGGAGAAATCAAGTTTCCATTTTAATGGGATTTTAATTGAGTTTGATTTTTTTTGGAAGATCACGTTCCTGATTTTATGCATTGTGAGTTGAAATGACCAAAAGGGCAATTTCAGAATATCACTTAGACATTTTGAGCGGGAAAAATAACTTGGGGGAGGCTGAGAAATTGCCACGTGGTAATTTGGTACTTATTTATTAGATTAGGGGATTAATTATTATTATTATTATTGTTATTATTATATTAGGCCGGAATGAGTGCAACAGAAAGCAAAAGCGGGAAATGTAATTTATTTTGCTAGGTAATAGCTATATATATATATATATATATATATATATATATATATATATATATATATAGAGAGAGAGAGAGAGAGGGGAGTGGTTCAAATGAGAACCCAAAAATGTTAAGAACAACAAGAACCATTTTTTTAAATGTTTTCAAAAAGGTATTTTAGACAAATCAAACATTAACATTTAATAAATCAAATTTTTCATTCCCTTCTTTATAAACAGCCACCACTTGTAGCTTTCTGTTGGACCGTCACCGAAAGGTCGCCCTATCGCAGTCGGACTAACATAAAATTAAATGATATTTTTTTGGTCGTATTCACAGTTTAGTAAAACAAACATTTCAAATCTCAATTAAAATGACTATATTTATAATTAATTTTACAAAAATTTAATCAATGAAATAGAAGCTTGACAAATTCATTTTTTTCTCTTTAATTGTAGATCTCTTTAAAAATAAACATTTTTAAGACATTCACAATTCAAAATACAATATTCATAGTTTAAAAAACTATATTAATTCACTCATTAACACTTTAACACAAAAATTCATACAAAATTCACAATTTAATACAGTACATTCACAAATTAATTTAGTATATTTACTGTTTAATTCACAAAATTCACAACTTAATACATAAAAATTACAACTTAATATAATACATTCACAACTTAATACATATTATTTATAGTTTTGCTTCCTCCTAACATCATCAAATCTCAATCTCTTACACTTTAGCAAGCTCCATAAATTATATGCAAACTCCAAAAATAATATCTATAGAAAAAAATCAAAATTCATAGTTTAATAAATATATATTAAATACTATTAAGCGATTGAATACAAAGTAGAAAGGAAGGAGATAGAGATAAAGTGAGGATTAAGATTTTGAGAGATTAAAAAAATAGCCAAGTAAGAGAAAAGAGTTCAAGATACAAAACCATCAAATGTAGAGAGTTACAGTTTTTCAAGCTCCAAAAATCTTATCCAAAATTCACAAATTAATATACTAATTCTTTTATAATTCATAGTTTAAAATATTAGTTCAGATACTCATTCACAACTTAAAAGATTAGTTCATAAATCTATTCACATCTTAATATGCTTAATATGATTAATATACTAGTTTAAATATACATTCACAGCTTAACAATTACTTTATTTTCATTGAGGAATTTCATCAAACACCTTTTGTGCATCTGATGTAAGAACTTTTTTATCTAAAGATTATCATTAGAGATCCAACCAAAGAAAAGATACACAAAGAACAGAATATGAGAATGAGGTACAACAAATCTGATATGGTGGTGGTACCGCCGTCGACCACCTTGAAGTGCACAATAACCACCTGAAATACATCAAATCTGATGTAGATCTGGTGGTGTATCACCAATATCAAAGAGAAGAGATGAAGGCTACCTAACAAAGTTTCACCGGAGCGACGAGCAACAGAGATGACGACGATTAACGTCATTAGTGTGCGTTAGATCTGTTGTAGATCTACTTCTTTTTCACCGGAAATCACGTAGAAAGAGATGTAGGCAAGCTAATCGTGTTTCACTGAAGCGGAGACGAAGCAGCATGGTGACCGTTGACGGCGGTGGTGATGTTCGATGGGTTTAGATCTAAAACACATCATATCTGATGTAGATCTAGTCGTTTGTCGTGGCGGTTGGCGGTGCATTTGAAGCAAAATAACTTGACGACTCGACATTCTGACGAGTGAAAGTGGTAGGTGACGGTGGAAGGTGGTAGCGGCGGGTGTCAGAAGGTGGCGGCGACAAGTAGCTGAAGTGGTGTTAGGGTTTATGTTCTTCGGAGAGTTTAAGAGGGTACGAGAAAGTTTTGAAAGAGTTTTCTTGTAAAAAAATTTATAAAAGTGTTTGAAATGTTAGGATTCCTAATCTTTTAGGGTTCTCATTTGATCTTATATATATATATATATATATATATATATATATATATATATATATATATATATATATATATATATATATATATATATATATATGGGTCCTGATAATTCCACGGCAGTAATTTATTTATCCACTTGAAATTCGGGTATTTTGACATTTTTGCCCTTTTTCTATTTTACAAAAATATAACAAAAAAGAAACATCCCAAACACCGGTTCTTCCTAACGCTAATTCTCTTCCCAAAATAAACGTCGATTCCTAGTCTTCATACAAGAATCGACGATGCTTCTTCGGCGTTCGTCGGACGTCGTTTCTTCTTTTCCGTTGGCCGGTCTCTGTTGCTTCTTCCAAGTCGCCGATCCTCCTTCTGAATCGGTCCCGGTTTTGAATCGATCCTCAGATACACCTCAATGAGACCCACCCTCCAACTGTGTGTGCAGGTCTATCCCGATCTTTGCTTCGCTTCTGGGTGGCGTGAATGGACTGAATCAGAAATCATCCATACCCAAATCTTGAATAAAGTTTCTTGCAACCTTTTTCAAATCAGCAACTTTGAATATTTTCAAATCTGGTGAAATCACCAAATTTGAATACACATGGTGATTATCAGAAGAACAATTGGGGGCAGGGGGGTCATAGATGGTGATTTTCTTGCTTGTTTCTTGTTGTAGGTTTGATGGTGTTGGTGTAGGGTGAAACTAGTGAAGAGGAAACATTGGTGGCGACGATGATAATGGCCTGAAGTGGAACTGTGATGACTGTTCATGTGTGATGAAGGTTGTGCTGAATTGAGTCTGATCAAAAAGATGGTGGAGGCTGCGTGGGAATGGTGTGTGGCGTGAGATGATTTTGACGGTGATGGCAATGTTCTTAGGAGAAGATGATGTGACTGTCGCCGATTTTATGGTGTATCAAGGGTTGGTTGATGATGTGAATGATGGTTCAGTGGCTGGGATGAAGAGAGTGTATGATGGCAGATGATGGAACGTAGAAGATGATCGGCTGAAAGATTGAAAGAGAGATATAATAACTCATTTATCTCTTTCATATTAAGTTAGTAATAAGGGCAAAAATGTCATACCACTTCAAATTTAAGTGGACGAATAAAATAAAAAAGTGGAAGTATCAACTCCCTTTATATATATATATATATATATATATATATATATATATATATATATATAACCCCTTAACACATCTATAAATACCTATATATTTTAACCTTCAAACAGCTGTTGATGGAAAACACCGATAATCTTTCGGGAACGGCCCTGGAGCTAGTTTTGAAGAAAAAAGAGAAGATTATGAAAAAATATTTCCTGTAGATTGGTGTTTTAATTTTGGTTTTTTTATAGGTATTTTAATCTTAGTTTTTTATGTAATTTTTATTTTAATTAATAAAATGGTGTTTTAATTTTAATTAATTTTTATGTTTATTACTCATTTTAAAAAAAATTATAAATCTTAAAATCAATTTTATTTAAGAAAAAATAAAGTGAAAGATTGTTCCTATATACACCTTAGGTTTTGGTGAGGAAAAGAAAAGTGATAGAAAATGCTGACGTAGGAGGCAAAAAATTAAATATTGTTCCCGTTAAGGGTGAGCGTGGTACGGTTCGGTGCAGTTATTAGCCAAAACCTCACCACTAACCGTAAATATGGTTAATCCATTTTCAAAACCGTTTGGTGCGATTATTTTTGAGGTGCGGTTTTGTTTCTTTTTGTGTTGCGGTTATTAAACGCATGGATTTGATGCGGTTATTTTGTGTGGCTTTTAAGTTTTAACCACAGTTTAGAGCTCAAACGGTTTTAAGAGTTCAAACATATTACTTGTAATGATAAAAAAAAACCATAACGTATAAGACAATTAACTTAAATCACAAACAACTAATATCTTAAAACGTCAAATCAACAGTAATTAACAATAAATATCTTAAATTGTCTAATTTCACCATTTTTCAAAGTTAAACATAATAAAAAACCAACACTTTTGTCTTCTAGTATTTTATCCATCTTTCATCCATGAAACTTGTCTTATTTTTAATATTTAATATATTAATAATTAATAGAAAAAATTGTATATAATATATGCGGTACAGTGCGGTTTTTTTGCGGTTTTTGAAAACTAATAACCACACTGCACCGCAAATTTGCGGTTTTTGAAAAACAGAAAACCTCGGCATCGGTTTTTATTGCGGTTGCGGTTTATCGGTTGCGGTTTTTACGGTTAATTTTAGTTGCGGTGCGGTTTTTGCTCACCCCTAGTTCCCGTACACACCCTCATCGGGTCTTATGGTACTTCTTAATCAAAAGTTTTAATTAATTTTTTTCTCCATTTAACTCTGTTAATGGCATTGTTATCTTTTCACATTTGTCTCTATTGTAAATAAATGAAGATATATGTTATATGATCTTAATGACTATAATGGAATGACATTTAAGTCTGACCATTGGAATCCTTGTTGGGAAATTATACGAATTTATGAGCTTCTTGAGTGCAAGTCCACGATTACAGTTCAAAAGAAATGAAATCACCAGTTCCAAACATACTCAGCAGCTGGTGTATGAGGTCATCCGCAAACCATACCTTTCAAGTATTTAAAAAAAATAAAAAAAATAAAAAATAAAAAAAAAAAATCATTGTTTTGAGATTCCAAAATGTACAACTTTTTCGTACATAGTACAACTCCATATTGCACAAAAGATTATCAACGCTTCACCATTAATAACCCTTCCATAACACAAGTAAGTAACCAAAGCCAAGAATGAATTGCCAGTTAACACCCACACACAGGGAAAACAACATCTAGTTCATCCCTGCAGAATATCAAAATAAAATCAGTTTTAGCAATTCTAACATAAATATTACTTATTTACCCATTTTCCAGATTTTTAAAAAAAAATAATAATAATAACTTACACCATATTTGGTATTTTACTATCCACCAACGCCAAAATGGTGTTTGATTGGAGCAAATTTACACTAAATTTGGTTTAAAAAATGAGATTTGGTGTGGGGTAATTATGTCCAAGTTGTTAGTTTTTACAATAAAATAGGCCAAATGGACAAAGAGTAATTGGAAAGATACTTTACTCAATACAATAGGGGCAGAATTTTATTTTTTCTCAACAGATACTGACCTTTTCTCATTTGTAATACGGGTCTCTTTTTGGGATTTGATTTACCATATTACCCTTCTCCATTTTGAAGTAATGCATTGCCTCTTCCCTACCCATCAAATGGAAGTTGAATGTTGATGACAAACCATGATGATCATCATGGTTGTCATTTGATGAAGAGTTTTTTTTAAGCATATCTTCAAAGATTGAAGAACTTCCATGGAAATTAGTGGACAGATGATCTGAAGATCTTACAACTAAACCTGATTTTGGCTCCTTTTGGTGTACAGAATTTGTGTCCATGTCATCACTGACCTTTTTTGTATTGAGAAAGCGGCCCCCACAACCCCGAGCCCTTCTCATAGCATGTTGGTGTCGCGATTCATGAAGATAAGGCTAAAAAATCGGATGCCAATAATATAACTAACTAACTAACTAACTAACAATGGAAATAATTTTTTAACAAGTATGCATTTATTAATCCTACCTTTTTGGATTTAATCACTTTTTTTTCCATTTCTGCTTTGGCCCTTGATTGTCTTCTCCTTAGAATCCCGTGGTATTGTTTTGCATTTACATAAACAGGCTCCTCTTCCATTTGAAGGGGTAATGGCATTCTATGTAAATTTGGATGTGTCTGGATCCAGAAAATAATTAGAAAAACTAAGTACATAACTCATCATTCTTGCATAATGATGTGTCATGTGTGTATCTGTCACATTCTCACCTGTGTTCCATAAGTCATCATTCCTGCATAATGTGGATCCTGATACAAATTAGATGTCAACACCTGCAAAATGGTTTTATATATCAGAAAGTTATATCTCTAGTTAGTAATTGCCAATATAAACATACATATATGTACAAAAAAAAGAGATTACAATTTCCATTAGTGAACTCGTTTCAACTTGTTTGACTTGTTCCTGTTCTTGGCAATTGTTGATGTTCAATCCTGAAATGTTGATTCCTATGTCAATTGTAAAGAAACACAATTAAGATATATAAATTAACTAAATAAAATTCACCATACATACCAGTGGGGGAATCTGTATCTTCAACAACATCATCACTAGTGGTTTGTAATTTATCTCCGAACTTGATAACACCATTTGTTTCACCAAAAGAAGACATCACGCCATTTCCAATTCCATGCCACCAAGGTTGTGAATACGCTGTTGATGGGGAGATGTTGTGTGTTTGTTGATCTTCATCTTGACGTTTTGTGGGCATATTCTCGAATCCTTAGAAAATCAGAACTCATCAGGAAAGTAAAAACTGCAACTCTTCATCAAGTTATATGTAATCATAATGGTTAATCTCAACTAATAACATCATTAAAATTGGTAAATCTAATTCGTAGTAATCAATCACTGAGCATATAGACATCAATTCCGATTAAAAAAGGAAAATATCCCTAATTATCATCACTATTCCAAACTCTATGCGCGAGCATGGAGTATGATATATATACCTAATACCTATAAACAGATATCCAATCAATTGAAAACAGGAAGCCCTAATTGAATTGAAAAAGGATAGAATTGAATTGACTAACCTTTTTGATGTTGTCGGAGGTAAGGAGAAAATTGGGAATCTTGAAGATGATACTGAAACTGAGTTCAACCCATTCGAATATGATCGATGACAAATAAATTAAACAAGTATAACAATATTATAAATTGAAGAGACGCATTTGACAAAGAAATGGTGTGTGCTGTTTGTAATTATTCATATAAAATTGGTACTACTCATACTTTTATATTTAGGATTTTTGTTGTATTTAATAAAATAATTTTACTTAGAGTTCACGCCGACGTCGCTTTCTGCTTTCTGCTTTCTGTGTCGCTGTTAAGGAGAAATACAAATCCCCTTCGCTTGCTGTCTGCCGGCGGTAAGTCATGAAACTGTAATTAATTTCGAGGGTTTGGTCAAAATTTTATTTACAATAAACTATAAAAATGGCCATCCATCTTAATAAAAATTGTGTTTTACACTTTTACTTTTTAATAAGATTCTTATTTTAACCTTAGGTTATCTTTTTAGTAATTTAGTTTGATAATTAAATGTGGACCACATAAAATAAGTAGGGTAATAAAAAAGAAAGAAAAAGAAAGGCGTAAGTCACTATGAGTCATGACGAGTAAGTTTGACGTAGTCAACTCGACGGCCACGTTTCCTCCAAACACCCCTCTTGTGGCCCGTTTCCTGCCATTTGGCAACTATAGATTCACCTGTTTTTAAAAGTTGTACTATTATTTTTTATTTTCTAGAATGCTAAAAATTGAAAAGAAAAGAAAAAAATATTCATTAAAATTACCCAATGCCACATTAAGGTGGCTGATGACTTGAGATAAACATTTAAAATAGTGTTCGGGATTTATAAGATTCTTTACTTTGAAACAATCCGCCGTTATTTAAAATTAAAAATTTGAAAAATAATACTATTATACCAAGACAGTCATATAATTTGTTTTTTATTATTAAATGACCATCTATTTTGTTTAAATCCACTCTTGCAAAAGTTTGATACTTTTTTCTTCTAACAAAAACTAATCTTCATTCGTTTATTTGGGCAACATATTTTATGTTTAATCAACAGACTATCACTAATAACACCTTATGTGTTCTCAAAATAAATATAAACTTTTGAGTATTTATAATCTAACCATGGATTTGGTTTTGGATATTACTATCGTAAAAATCACTTTATTTTCTCAAACAACATGAAATTATTAACAAAAGAAAGAGTTGGTGATGAAGAATGTCACCCGATACCGCCAATTATATCCTAGCAAATTGTTAAATACATATTCAATTAATCTATGTAATCGTTAAGAAACTTTATTTAATAACTTTTAGACAATCTTTTTTACATGATCAGATGATTAGAACAATCAAAACTATCTAACTGAGCTAGATCATGTTTATCATAGCTCCCCAAATAACTACCATCCATTAATTGATATTATGTGTTGATTTTATATTTTCATAAACTTCAACCTTGTTTGTTTGTTTTTGTTTAGTGATATATAGGGAATGCACACAAATAGTATGACAGATCCCTAAAGAGAAAATAGAGAAACAAAGTTGATTCAACACAACATTTTTTGTCCTATACACGAAAATGATATGCTTTTTTAGCATCACTTACATTACCATAGCCTAGAATCTAGGAAAAGGTTGCAACAACAATGAGTGGATAAATAACTACAATTATAAGAATCCTGATTTTAAATACTACAATAAAAGGCAGAATACCATACGATTTGATAGATATATGTATATCCCTCAGAATGCCTATTATCATCACGACATGTAGTTGTGAAATTGTGATTCCTCTACCTTATGCTTATAGGAAGCAGAAGGGAGCACCACATTTCCAATAACATGTATATTCAGATTACTAAATATTTCGTCATGGGGATGTTGAAATAATTACATAATTAGGACAACAAAATGGAAGCAAACATAAGAAGGGAAGTATGCATATGCTCTTGTTATGCTAAACCGAAGCATATAAATTGCAGCAAAAAGATGCCAATGAAAGAAAACAAAACACATTGTCAACACAAAATAATCTCAATCATGGATTTTAAAGATGAACCTTTTGAATACCAAAAACAAAATGTATATTTTAATTCAAAACAGAGGATTGGTGCCTCTAAGTTAACTCCGATGCAATAATCTTAATTTTTTTTTCAAACAGCTACATGTTCTGTTCGACAACGCACAGAAGAATCCCCACAAAGACAAGTAACGAAAACATTTCAAATCGATCGAAGATTATGGAGAGGTTAGAAAGTGAAGAATATTATGAGAATTTATCAAAAAAAGATCGTTTCCATTCCGAGCTTTGTATACACATAACTGGATATTACCGCATCCAAGAATCAATGCCCTGAACAGACTAGCAAGGCTACATGCGCCTTCGGTGCTTTATTATGGAGTCTGCGACAGGAAGAACCGGTTTCGGCAACGGAATCTCTAGGGTTTAGTTGTGCTCGAGGGTTCAGGAAGCGTGTAGCATTTTAAGCAAAAGACAAAATTACATAGAGGGTCCCTATATTTTTAAAGGGGTTTTCTATAAGTACTCCCCCTCATTTTTCCAATCTCACCCCCCATGATTTGATTTTTTGTCTTTTGTTGTTTTTTTTTTCCTACTTTGTTTTTTTGTTGTTTTTAATTCTTTTTTAATTTTTATTATTATTATTATTATTATTATTATTATTATATTTTAATATTATTATTATTGTTGTTATAAATTTCGCACAAAATTTTAAAATTCGGGAGACATTATAAATTCAAACGGCTATATAAAATCGGTTTTTAAATATTTTTTATATTTTCATATTAATATTATTATTGTTATTATTATTATAAATTTCGAACAACCTTGTATAAATCGGACATTATAAATTCGAACGGCTATATAAAATCGAAACAAAATTTGTTCGATTTTATATAGTCGTTCGAATTTATAATGTCTGATTTCTAATATGTTGTTCGAAATTTATAATAATAATAACAATAATAATATTAATATTCAATATAAAAAATATTTAAAAACCGATTTTATATAGTCGTTCGAATTTATAATGTTGTCCGAATTTTAAAATTTTGTGCGAAATTTATAACAATAATAATAATAATAATAATAATAATAATAATAATAATAATAATTTAAATGAAAAAAGAATTAAACACAACAAAAAAAACAACATAGGAAAAAAACACAAATGACAAAAAACAACAAAAGACAAAAAAGAAAAAAAAAATGATATCAAATCACATGTCAAAATTTTGATTTGATTGATTTTAGGAGGGTAAATATAGTTAAGGGGGTACTTATAGCACAACCCATTTTTAAAATGTCATAAGTACAGTCCTTTAATTTTCTATCGATGATGATGATCTCGTTGATTTCAAATGTTTTCCTTGTTTGGTCCCTACCCGCTTAAAATGATTTTTATATTATTATTATCTTCTTTCTTTTTTTTCTTTTACCTTTTTAGTCATTTTCCTGGTTTAATTAAAGAAAAACTAGGAAAGAATCCCCGCTTTGCGGGGTTGGATACGTCAAAGAAATGGACAAAACGGAAAGATCTTATTAAGTTACAATACCCGATATTAAACAATTGAAACAAAGATGATATTAAACACAAATGAATATCCTTTTTAAGTAAACCATCAACCATTACTTGAAACATTAGTTATCGCTACTTTTCCCAATTCTTCTTTTATTCTTCCTGTTACAACAAATAACAATGTCATTTCAATTATAACTTTACCATATTGCATGGAATTAACAGAGAAAAAAAGAAAATTTACCTTTCCTTCAAGATCATCACTTGGTAGTTGATTAAGCGTCTCTGCTCGAGACTCCATGCTCATAACTAACATCCAAAAAAAAAGTTACAAGGGCATTCATGTCGTTTGCTTTGTTTTAAGATAGAAAGAAAGAGAACCTTTTTCTTCCATCTTCTCAAATGCTGAAAGAGCACTACTTGTATTCACATTCACCAACATTTCACTTACTTTTGTTGCAGTTCTATACAAAAGAAAATGTCCTCAATTACATTAACTCCAAGAAAAAAAAAAGAAATCAAAATTGAAGGATGAAAACAAACTTTGCTGACTGTGCATGTGCTTTAAGAGTATCTTTCTTTGACTTAGCCTCTTGTATCGTGCTTTCTAGAATTTGTTAAGAGAAATGTATACATTTAGAAATAAGCAAAAATTTCAGATCTTGGAAACAATATTTAAAAAGAAATGAAAGATATATTTAAAAATAAGGAAACACGCACCCGAGTGTTATTCACCAGATTTTCCACAACGCCTTTGTGCTGATCAAGTTGAGTCCTCAAATAAGCTGAATTGTCCTAAATATCATTTCAGATTCATATTTGACATGGTCTGATGCATCCTTCTTAGACCTCCAAAGGAAACAGATTCATATTCTGTTTCCTTCTTTTGCATAAGCACAAGGCTAAATCCTTATGAAGAGAACAAATTCTTTTTTATGATATAATCAGATAACCATAAATTTTAAAAGTAAAATTACAAAAGATTTTACCTTGTTGGTGGTGATAGATTGTTGGGATGATGAGTAAACAACAGAGCACTCTAGCTTCAAGATATCATACACTAATATCCCTACATGCCCTATTAAATACAAAAATAAAAATATATAAAGAGAAATGAATTATGATTTTATTTATATTTAGAAATTAGAAATTAGAAATTAGAAGATTTACGTTTTTTTCTGCTGCCACTTCCTACAATGTACCATTTGATTCTTGACCACATCATCTGAAACAAAAAGACAAATACTTTTCAAAAATAATAAAATCAAATTTAGATAATCAGATAAATTAAACACACACACACACCGTCTCAAAGTCAAGTGAGTACAAATCATTCAAATATTTAGACTTTGAAGTTCTTCCAAACACAAGAAGCAATTTATCATCATACAGTGCTGCAACATGATTACATTTTGAAGAAGGTCCAGGTCCCCTAAAAAGTGAACATAAGTATAGCTATAAGTTATAGTGTGTTAACAACAAACAATCAACGATCAATTACCAATCTATCGGCTTACATTGATCACTAAATTAGTAAAAATATTAGGGAAATTTCATTTATACCCTTGAAAACCCTAAATAGATTGCAGAAATGGTAAGTGAAGCAAGCATAAAATCTGAAATCCCACATCAGATTGAAGAAATAAGGAAAATAAAATGAATATGGAAAAAAGAAGATACCTTTTTCCTTTAACTGTGAGTGCTAGAATATATGTATCCTTGGTTTGTATTTAACATTTTGAAGATCTATAGAAAATTTTACACAGTTAAAAATCTTCATTAAAATGTAAAAATATTCTAATGGTCTTGAAATTAGAATTCACACATGTAATATCTAAAGTCAAAGTATGTTGACATCGTTTTACATGGAATGACTTTAATTTGAATATCTTGTTGGTGGGAATCCACCTCTTCGTCTCTTGATCTCATTCCCGTCTGAGAACATAAACACAAAAAAGGAAAACATGAGGAATCCATTAAAAGGGTTTAATTTGGGTTTTTTAAAACTCAAGTAAAAATTACACTGAAAAAGCTACATCCTACATGTTCACAACACCATAAATTCAACACTTCTTTGCAGAAAGGGCAATGAAGTTCTACCAATTGTCAATTGACATAAGATTACTAATTCTAAACATAATTCCTATATATAAACCCAAACTTTTTAAGAAACACATTCAAATTGATATCCATTTTGTTGAAAATTAGAATCCTCTTTCTATATAATCAATTCAAATGTTTTATTAACCATAATTCTTTCCCAAATGGCATTTTATTCACGGTAATTTCATCAGAAAGATCGGAATTGTTAACTAAAAAAGAAACCCTAAAACCGGGGATCAATATGTAATGGCGTATTAACTCCATGGACTGAATAAATGAAAATTGGATGTACTAATAATCAACTTCTAGGGCAAAAAATAATCGATGTGTTACTGAGAATAGATTTTCAGGGGAAAAAAACAATCGATCTATTTATGAGAATCTATTTTCAGGAAGGAAAAAAAGCTTACCTGCAACCGGAGGTCGGCGTCGTTTCCGGAGGCGGCGAAGCTTCCGATGGCATTGTCAATCGTGAAGATAGCAAACGACTGCAGATCGAAGAGGTAGAAGGAGAACAAATTTTATTTAAAGCTTCAATCAGTCTAGGGCTAAAATTAATAGTAGAAGATGGACGTTACCTGAAGTAGACGACTTCTAACCACATATTAAGACAGACTAATACATGGTGGAGGTTGTGATTGAAGGAGTCGGGAATGAAACTGTAAAGCCATCGGCCAAACCACCAATGGCGCACATTGGAGAAAGTAAAAAACTGGGTCCATAACCGAATTTATAATTCAGATTGTTGCGAAAGGGAAGGACGATCGGAAATCAGAAAACATTTTGACGGTGGAACAACTCGGTCGGTGAAGAGGAACATGATTTTTTTTATGTTGGCCGATGATGAAATTGAAGTCGAAGAAGGAATGGGTTTAACTGGGAAGATGAATGGAGAGGCGATGAAGTCAAAGAAAACAAAGAGCTGAGGAAGGAACAGCCTCATGGAGAAGATAGATGAGCAGTAAAGGAGAAGCGGTGGAGGAGCAGATGCGGGAAACAGGATTGGATCTGATTGGAGGAGACGTCGGTAAAGAGCTGTAATTTAGATCACATAGGGAGACGCGTGTGTTGAAGACATCAATGAAGGCATATGAATCACCTCCATGTAATCCAAGACGATAACACGTAGCAATTTTGACACAGTAACTGACGACTAACACGTAACGCAATGGGCAAAGAGGCAGACATTAACAAAAAAAATTAAAAAGAAAAATTGATTTTGGTCCAATAGGAAGCAAGTCCTGTTCATCATGTATCATGTAGTTCTAAATTAGTATATATATATATATATATATATATATATATATATATATATATATATATATATATATATATATATATATATATATAAATTTGTTGTAAATTAAATTTGTCTATATTAAAGAGGAGAACCGATGAACTAGTCCACCCGTCCACCTTCATCTCTTTCTTTATTCATGATATCTCAAAGCCTCCGACCACCACCTTTTCTCCCATGGCACCCCCTGTCAAATCAAACACCATCAATACCTCTTCCTTTCCCACTCTCTTCCATCACCACCCATCACTGTCCTTTTTAGTTTCTTATTTATACACCAAAAGTAGTTCAGAAAAAACTAACATAGACACGCATATCATATCTCGTTCAGTAGTCTAACAAAACCAACATTACTAAAAAACAAATCGATGAACCATTACACATCCATATCTTCACCAGGTTAAACCTAATTGAACTCATATTAAACAAATCGGGAACCACATTAAAGGGAACTCAAAATCTATGTTAAGCAATTGAAAATAAGATGCAAAATCGAAATCGAACCACATCACATTTGGATGTTTATCTCTACATCAAAATCGAACAATATCAAATTCACAGCGACAAAGAGGGTGGAACTGGTGGTTTGAACCTTATCGGTTTCAATTTATGATCTTTACTTCTAAATAGGTTGTGATGGTTCCCTTAAGGGATGGAATTGAGTTTTCGTTTTTAGTCTTTACTTCTAATTACAATGGAGAATGGAGTTTTTCCGTCGATGAGTGATTTAAGGAAGAATGGGAATTGGAAACTAAAAAGGGAAGAGTGATCGGTGATTGGAAGAAGGGATGGAGTTATAGGGCAACCGAGGGTCTTCTAATGAAGGGTGACAATGGTATGGGTCATCGATGTTAGCCAACATATAAACATATAGAGAAAGGGAATGAATGATGAGTTATAAGGCGGTGATGTATCTATTAATAGCGTTTTGGGGGGAAGGGTCGTGTTTATTTATTAAAATTAATGAAAAAAATATATAACTTAGGTTGAAAATAGTAATTTCATATCAAATTTGTAACAAAATGAAATCATATAGACAAGCCACATAATGAATTGACGTAGGTGGTGAATTTAAGTGTTAATTTAGGAGTAGATTATATATTATATTTGCCGATTCAAAAAAAAACATAATGAATTGAAACTACAAATCTCATTAAGAAAAAAAAAGTTAGAGAATGGACACCTATTAAGCTGTCATTTTATAGGCAACAACCTTATACCCCCCTTATAGACCGTCTTCATGAATGAGGCCTACTAACGGTAAGACTGACTTCATCTTATATATATATATATATATATATATATATATATATATATATATAATATATATATATATATATATATATATATATATATATATATTGTTAACTTATAATACTATAAAGTATAAGGGTTGTATTTTAACTTTTAAAACTCTAGGGTTTGGAATTAAAGTTTTCTAAAGGGACTTTATAAATTCCAAAACTTGAGGACAAGTTTTGAAACTATTACAAACCTTTCATATTCATAACTTATGAGTTTAATGGTTTATTAAAATAAAGACTCTTCACTTTATGTAACCTATGGTTCTTTAATGACTTTTAAAGAAGTGACTTTTGGTAATCCATAACTTGAGGACAAATTATGGACTCCATCAATAACATTTAGATCAAGAATTATATCATCAAACAATTTGCAAATAATTCCTATGATCTGCCAAAACTCATAAGCATGAACATTCATATCAACAATTTCAAGAATCACATAAACATATATAAAACTTGAAAAATTGATAATAACCATTGTAAATGGATTAGCATAATCATTACCACATCAAAAACAGGTTTTATAAGTCCAAAACAGTTTAGGGTAATGATTCTGGTCCATTTCCAGCAGCATAACTCGAAATTTTGCACACATGGGCTCCTACTCGCTTAGTGCAAGAACCTACTCGACGAGTAGGATGCATTTACACTTGGACTCGTCGAGTCCCCCCCATGGACTTAACGAGTTCACTGTTCAGTGAGCAGAAAAATCGATTTTTTCAAGCAGTTTGCATCAAATACAAAGAAAACAAGCTTAGGCTCTAATACCACTGATGGGTTTTGAGCATTCTAACACTCCTATGGTGTACATGCAACCCTAGAAACCTTGGATCTATGTTTTCTCTAATATTCATGCAAATTTGTTTTTCCAAGGTTCTTATCCTAACTAGCATGGCATGGGGTACTTGTAATATAAAAAACTAGTAGAATGACATACCTTTGTTGTTGCTTGGATTCCTTAAGACCTTGTGAGCCTAGCACCCCAAATGTGATGCCTCAAATGTTTCACACGACACCACAACTCTTGGAATAACTTGAGAGAAGAACACTTTGATCACAAAATCGGCTAGCCCTCATTGTCTTGTCTTAGTGGCCAATTTTGCTCCATATGAGGTTGCTTATATAGTGTGTCACATGTAGGGTTACACCATGTAAACCCTAATATGCATGGCTTTTCATTTACCCCATGATCCATGGGTTACAACCTCTATGGAGCATCCATGGAGCACCCAATGGGTCCTAGCCCAATCTAGTGAATCATGAACTATAAGCCCACTACATAAGAATGAGTGATTTACAAACCAATCCTCATATACTTAATTAGTCTCTTTTTTATCACAAAATTAATTCCAAATTAATTCTTGATCAATACTAATTAAATAATATGATTTCATAATAATATATTAGATTTTATAATATATTAACAATCCATAAGTGTCCTTTTTCTCATTATGTCTATCCAATTGTTGAGATGCCGAGCAACCAAAATGGACCATGCCAAGTCGGGTCAAGTATATACCAAATATAGTTATGGACTTAGACACCTTATCCAACAGCTACCTCCCTACACACAAGAACCTTCGCATCACTACTGCCAAAACATCATGTTGCTTCTTATGCACTTTCCTAATGGGTCGAGACCTCACAGGTCCCAATTTATATGTCGACTATCTAGAAATACTGGATTCCATCCGGTTACCAAACCAATGAACACTTTCTCAGTCTCTCCCAGCGACTCCCGAAGGAACTTCGACTATCGCAAACTACTATATCCACATTGCCACCAAATCTACTACAAAAAGGTGAATGCTACTAGAACTGTTGTAGTCTTACATCACACCTGGTCTTCAACGACATACCGCTTCCCGAATCCAATCATATTGGGGCCTACTCACATCCACGCAGGGTGCCCTGCCCCGGTCTAACCTATCTGAAAAACTCCACAAGTGAGTCACGCATCTGATACGTTCTTACTGCCGAATAGGGACCGACGAATGCTACGGGCCACCCTGCAGTCTTACGCTCCTATACTAACTGACCACTAATGAATGCTACGGGCCACCCCCACAGTCTTACTATACCAATATACTAACGAGTGCTACGTGCCACCCCGCAGTCTTACTATACCAATATACGAATGCTACGGGCCACCCCGCAGTCTTACAACGTTATGTCATACCCCCAAACCGGAACGGCGGAAACGTTCGGGGGTGGATGACGTCATATGTAGTATCACAACAATTGCATCATAGTAAGCATAGTAAACACAACCATTATATCAGTTAAGTAAAATATTCACATCGGTTTGATTCATTTTTATACATTTCAAAAGTATGACAAAGTAAAAGACGTGACTCTATACGTTCCGTCTTCTCAAAACTCTAGGAGGTACCTGTCTACTGATTTCCTGAGAATACAAGCAATTTTGAAAAGAGTATCAACATAAAGCTGGTGAGTTCATAAGCATGTTTTTGTAGAGAAAACATGTTGATAACTCTGTAAAAATGTTCGCATATTTCCAAGAAAATCCGATATTTTCTTTAGTAAGGTGTGATGATATCAGTTCCATCTATGACCACTTAATTCAAGCTAGCCACGTATAAACCAATATCGAACAGACAGTTGATTATGTGGATCTTCCCTAAGCCCACAACCAAACAAGGAACAGGAAATGAGGCGGACACCACACATTCCACAGTCTATCGAATATTCTCCATACATAGCCTGATGCCTAAACTAAGGAATTATAGAATTAAGTATGAATGTTTGTTACTGTATCCTGTTGTAGTATAGTAAAACATTAGTTTGTATGTCTTGATACCACCAATCGTAGTATGTGTGTATTCTTATACAAAACCTTTGTATAGTATGTTCTGTTTGAAAACCCTGGCTCACACCAGTATGTATAGTAGTTTCATTACTTAAAATAAAACTAATGAAGAATGAAATCCCGTAAACAAATAGTTAGTTTATACTATTTTGATTCGTATAACCATGTTTTAT